GTACAGATATTGACACAGAAAGTATAATATTATTATGGACAGAGGCGGATTAATGGGAAGGCAAAGTAGGGTAACTGCATACGGAATATTAAAAATCCATACCAAAATGTATAAATATAAAATGTGCCTGTTCAATAATATTTCAAAAACATTTCTGTGATATTGAAATCATTCATCTCATTATTTATATTTGTACAAATCATTGTCTTTATCTCACTTATTCGTATTTTATGCAATCCTAATGTGAAGAATTAACTTGGAACATAACCAACGCTAATGATTCTGATGTGTACTTCATATTTCATACTCTGATCGAATCATCAAACCAATAAAACATGTAATAGGTGTATAATAATTTAGCTATAGGTATTTTTTTTCATAAATTTCCTATTATTGTTCGGTATTATAATCCAGAGGTAGAGCTCGGGTCACTTATAAATATTTTAATCTTTTATCGGTATGTATTATGCGTAGTTAATTATAGGATGGAAGTATTTTTAAATGTCCAGTGTTTACGCATCACTGATAATTGAAATGCATAATATTATGTAGTTATAATGGTGAATTGTGTTTAACTGAAAGTACTAACAGAATCAGTCTCTTGTAATAAATTTACTTATTTTTTAAAAAAACAATAAAAATGAAATGTTTACATTTATATTTACATTTATACATTATACTAATATTAAAGTCAAAAATAAATTTTTTGTTGTTTTGTGTATTAAATTGTTAAAAAATTAATTATATAAATGAAGAAGTACGAATATCAATACATATAATAAATTAATATTTATGTTTTACGGTCTTATAAAGTTATAATTGTTTACTTAAATACGATTGCTGTTAAAAGATCATGTTGTAATTTTTGTTCTTCAAGTTAAAATAATGATTTTCGAGAATCTACTTTAATGTATTAACATTTTTAAAACTTGACTTAAATAACTCACTATCTAGTATTGTATAGTAAACATATATAATCTATACAATTTTTTTTTAGACAATTTACTATTATTGAGTGAGAATGTAAATACTTTTTACAAATTATATTAGAGTAATGACAGTAATAATAATAATAAAAAATGTTTAACAAATCTATATTTAATAAAACATAGACTCAATTTTATATTTGTTTATTGTAATACATAATTATATTTAAAATAAATATGTTACTTTGTTATTAAAAATCCTAGCTAAACCTTTAGTGTACATCGTAAATGTGCTTTTATGGTTCTAACGGCATCTTTTTCTCCGTCTCTGATTATGGAAGGAATATCAGCAGAACGACTTTAAAGGCAATAAAAACAATATGATTCCAGATGTGAAAACGTTTACCGAAAAAAGCATTTGGATTCATGACACATAATATCACAATATTTCTACTAGGCAATACGTGTAATATATTAAGTGCGTGATATATTATGTAATATTATATGTCGTAGGGTTTGTGTACAATAGGTCACCATTCAGCAGTCGCAGTATCCGTGATGTACGTCGACACGTGCAATCAACTGCGAATGTGAGTTACGTCACGACGATAATATGACAATGGAATTTTTTTTGTGACAATTAATTACAGTGGATGGCGAATGCATAGTATTGTTATTAATAAAAAATTAAAGCTATTCAATTTATTCGATTATTGTATAAAAAAAAATGGTGTGCGTATTGTGCGATGTCTGTCATGTCGTTGAAATGACTACCTATGGAACAGTTCATATAAAATTGAAAATACTACCAACGCCAAAAACGTGGTGATATTAAAATATTTAATCGTGATGGCAGAGATAAAAATGTTCTAGAAATGAAATATAATAGTAAAAATAGTTCGTCAAAAATGACTGGGCTAAGTTCATAAATAATATTACATTATCTGTCATGAAAATGTGCATGTATAACATTTAGGATCAAGTGGAAAACAACGATAACAATATGGAAAGAAACAGAGACAATTTAACTTACCTAGTAAATGTTTGCTAAGCAATATTTTATTTTTATGGTTCATAAAAAATATAATTTTATCCTGTGTCGTTGTACAAACAAAATTAACTGATACACCTAATAGCGTGAAACATGAGTCCGTAAAACCCATTAGATTAGCAGCGTTCCAATATTAGTATAGTGGCAAGTAGTAATTTTTATTCAAAACCCACAGAAAGTGTTCTATCAGAAACCATTCTTCAATAGCTAGTTTGCTTCTTTTACGCACAAACATCCACTAAATTTAATTGATTTTCGTCGAAAACCCAATAGACCACAGGCACGATGATATAATATAATCCTTATGTCCAGTCTTAAAAGAAAAATTGTACAACGGTAGTATTCTTTATTCCGAATCCTCGGGGCCAACATGTTTCCCATGATGATAAATGTAGTATTTCGACCAAAGCTAATGGACAAGAAAAATTTCCATAGGAAAACGCTTTAGCGAATACATGTATACTAGCTAGAGCGTTCGCACATATAAGCCAATACTATTATATTATTTTCTCCCAAAAAACCGACGTCGTGATAGTTTCTTTTTATTGCTACAGGCAAGAAATGATATTCTGATATATATTGTACTTAAAAACATAGATTTTAAAGCGATATAAAAAAATGTATGAAAAACTCAAAGTATAGTTGAAAATAATTTAGTATTAAAATATATAATTACACGATTCATGTTAATTTTCTGATAAACACTCCAAAGTCAAGTCTATGCGGTGTGTAAAGTTAATTTTCCACTAAAAACAATGATTGTACCACATAAAACGATATCCCTCTGCACTAATGAAATAATTTTATAATCATTATTAGTTGTATATAATTGAGTATCATAGCAATTAAATCATAAAAAATATAATATTGTGCTTTTCTCTTGGCTATCCTTTACTTGCACAGAACAGTATAGATTATGTGTTTTATCTAGACGCATACATAGTAAACGATAAATGTATTACAATTTATTATGATTTATGGGTATTTGATTGTTGTTATTTATTGTATTTTAGAGTTAAATAGTTAATACATTTCATGTTATATCATAATATTTATCATTCTATATTGTATGTGATATTATTCGTATGTAAATATTATTGTGATCCTCAAAGTTCTTTTGCATATGTACTTAAGTAAATTTCAATTTGTTTGTCGTGTTATTTTAATTTAATTTTATTTGTTACTTGTTTCCAAACAACGAAATATTATTATTATTATTATTAATATATTTCTCAAAAACAAGAATGCTATTGTTATTAATATTATGTCAAGATTAATTTTATCAATATATGATCATATGTATTATGTATTGTGTATTGTGGAACCGAAGATGGAACTTAAGAATCTATACATCTTTCCTCTGTATTAATAGCCGAGCTTATTTTAATATTAAATAATTAATTATTTTAATTTTATATCGTAATAATATTCTTCAGTTGTATTTATTTATAGTTGAATGTTGGGGAGGGACTTTAAACCTTTATTCTTTTGGGATGTTACTACATTTCTGTAATCTCAATCAACGTATGAAATGTCTTAAAAATATGAGTTACACGAGCTTTTTTACTTATTTTAATTTTAATTTTACTGGGCTAAATATATGATTAATAAACTTGTATAAAATAATTAAAATCGTAAATATACGATTGTTAATATGTCGAATTTAATACATCAGGATAAGAGTAAATAATTACTATGCCAATTGTTTTATTATTATAAATATTAGGTACCTAAGTATTTACTTAGAGTGTGAATGACATAAAATATATTTGTGTATTTGTATTTATTTTGACCTCATTTTCACCAGAGTGAATAGAGGTATCAAATATCCTAGAAATAAAAATGGCATTTGACGTCAATTGGAATTACTCGAGTTTCAAAATCCTATTGACATCACTACACTGAACGATTTATAACAGAAAACATAGGCAATTAACATAATCTCGTATGACATTAAGCTGCAACACGATTCGTTATCTCAAAAGATGGAATTCTAAGGACGATATAAAATGTTTCCCTTATTAGCTCAAAATATTTCAAATCAAAATGATATGAATCGATAAATTATTCTATTTCTTCAAATATTACAAATGTGCAGTAATTGTTTAGTTTTTTGAGAATATTAAAAAAAAAAAAATAGTATTTAGAACACTTCTAAATCTAAGGCAAACTTTTAAAAGTTAACATTAAAAAATACCTTTTTGTACATAGATACTTATTTCAGCTCAGTTTTCATATAAATACGGTTTTTTTCAAGATAACAGTATGCAATCAGTTATTATTATTTTTTTACAAATCAGACAATGTTTTTGTAAATTTGTGTGAGTTTTGAACTGTGTTTTTGCATTACATCATTGACTCAGAGTACAATAACAACAGCCGATAAACTTTTAATTTCGTTTCGTTATTTATGTTTGATTATTGTTGTTCAGACCAAACAAAATAAAATATAAATAACTAATTATTAAAGGATATACCATTGGTAAAAAAAAAAATAAAAAAATATTGACAGGATCCATGAGTTAGGTCAGGTTAGGATTGGCGATGCAGGGGTTAATGACAATCATGAGGACGCAATTAAGTTTAATTAAAAAATGTTAATAAGAATCACTGTCAAAATATTGAATGGTTTAAACTTTAAAGGAACGAAAACAGATAAAGAATCCGGAAATTGGAAAAAATTAAGCCTTAATATTAAAGCCTATAAACCCATTGGTTCTTACCCCTTTAATTTATATATATTTTAAAGTACGTCCAAATGAGATCCCCAAAGACTTTAATTTACGGTAGCATTTAACCAAACGGAAGACATAAATTTCAAAACTTCGGTGTGACGCTACAATAACACTACCTAAAATAACAACAATAAAATGGTGTCGAACGATGCCGAGCTCGAGGGATTTATAATTTAACATGTAATCAAATTTCAGCTACAGTTTACGACCGTAATTATTATTATAATAAGATATACCAACACTTGCGCTCATTAAATATAGTTACCCATCCTATATAATATAAATATACCCCAAATGGCGTGTTTACCGATGCAAATCGACTGAGTAAGAACTTACCTGGGTGTAGGTCATCCAGCAACAGGGTTCCACTTGGTTCGCATCCAGACCCCAAAACTCCAATTCTTCTTCGAACAACGGCCCGCAAACATCCGTCGGGTAATGAAGTTTACCCGTCCTGCAAGACAAAATAATGCTGTTATATGAAGTTCAAACTTCAAATGGATGCTGAGTTGCTAAATAATTTATGGAATTGTAATGGATATAATTATAGTGAAACGTTCGACAACATATGTACTTGAAATCATTTTACGGACTACGATAGTTCACAAGTACCTGCCTACATAATATGCTAAAATACCACAAAACAATAGAACCCTTAAAAATTAATTCCAGAGCAAATCTTCGGCTCGTTGAACAATAAAAGTTATAGACATATCAACACAACTGGGAATTTTAACGAGAAATAATGTAAGTACAAATAGGTAAGCATATTTACGGTTCTTAAAATATTGTAAAATTGAGTTGTATTTTTTATCACTTCCTTTCGTTGGTTTAAATTATGTTGCCACAATTTAAGAGCTATCTATCAAATTATCAATTCAAGAAATTTGTTTTTACATATTATAATTTAACAAACATAACCAGCGTAGGTAACTACTTATATTCAAAATGTCATTAGAAAAAAAAAATAATAATTTTGGAACTTCCATAAAAATTACAAGAGCAGAAACTCCAAATAATACAAAAATACAATTAGTATCGCGATTTAAAATTTATAACTGTTGACAAAATGAGACTATAGAATAATAATTGGAACGGAATTCATAAAATGTTTGAGAATGTTTTGTTAAAAAAGTGTATTTTTACCCTTCCATTTTTCATCTTCGAAATAAAAAATGCATAGCGCATATATTAAAGAAAAAAAGTACGTCAAACTTTCGGGTGAAATAACAAAGGACTAAAATAGTCTCACTGGTCTCAGTATTTTTGGAACAAAATTGTACACGCAGATGTTTTCTTTTAAATATATTGAGTAGATATAAGTAGATATAAGTGTAATATTTAGAATACGAATATAATGGAAATAACGAAAGATAATGAATAATATAAAAATTCACAATGACTTTATTGTGGACTCCCCACGTTAAACATAAGTACCAATACGTTAAAAAATAGATTATATAAATAAAAATAACATAGGTTCCTACTTAAAAACTTTAATCAATAGAATAGCAGACATTTTAACTTGAGTCATCGAAACTCCCCTCCACCCGGCACTCAATACTTCATCAATAATATTTTCCTACTTCTAGACTATATCAATTTATAAATACGATTGTTATACACTTAAATATATAGCTACGATTTATAAACATTTTGTGTTTATTTTTTAAATACAAAAAATAAAAAATAAAAAATACAAAGAAAATTAATAATTTTACACTGCAATTCGTATGACAATTCATAAACGTTGAACATTAATTTTTAAGTAAATTATAATGTTCATATTATATTTCATCTAAATAACTTTCATTTAAATTCCACCATAAATCAGTTTAAAAATTTAAACAACTAGCATGTAATAATATTGTTATACTTATTTCTAAATTAAAACTTTAGTTTCAGATTCTAATATTCTAATATTTCTTCAGTTTAGAGTATTTAACTAATTACATTTTTTGATATTGCAATACCGACTAGTGATTATATTATTATATACGTAAAAATGGCTGTCTCTGAAACTGAATAGGTAAGAATAATACTCAAGAAAAACAAACAGTTGTATTAGGTATAATGATCAAACCGCACTATTAATTATATTCGTTTAGTAGGAATTTTATTGTTGAAAAAACATCTTATCTACCAAACAATTGTTTCAATAGTTTTCTCTAGAGTATGACACGAACAATGAACACGTACAACCAAGGAATACAGAAATTAATCGTTATAATATTATATCTACACATTTCATAATTTTGTATTTCACGCCCCATATACATATATAGGCCATGATCCGTCGTACGATAGCAACATAATGCATAGAACAGTTGGGATAGGCGAGCAGCGGCGAGTGATCTATCCTTTGTTTCTATAGATTTTATCGAAACGAAACTTTGTACCTTTTACTCGATCGCATACTATTAAATTATAATTAGAGTAAAAAGTTTTTGTAGTCTTGTAGCCTTGTACGGTGTAGCATATAATATTATACAGTATAGGTACAATAGTTCCACACATAGATACTCGTAACAAGTGTGGTACACGTGCACTGTACCACCTAGTTGTCGACTATGTCAAAATCAATTGTACGGAGTTCTCGAGTATTACGTTACATGAGTACCTGCCGACGTATGCATATTAAACGATATATTATTATCGTCGACAGCGTATCGCCCACACGGTCAGCTGAAACCCCTAGGTATACGGGAAGGTATTTTTGCACGGTAACTCATATAGTCAATTTTTGTGTTTTACAAAAAAATCTGATTTAAAGGATTCATAACACTTCATTGAAAATAAAAATTAATACTTCAACCATATAGTGGTTCGCAAGTTTTTAAATCTCGAAATTCGTGTAGACATGTAAATTGATCACGCTGTATATATACCTGTACACCAGTCCACTGCCGACACCCTTTTGTCCACGTCCATTTTAATTCTTTTGACGCTCGTCACTGCGTCTGCTGCCTCGTTCTTCTCCTTCTTCTCGTCCTTCTCTACACCACAATTTTCTGCACCACCCTCCCCGGTTTAACGTCCTCTTTGTCGTCTGGGACCGTGGGTGTGGATGGTAAATTAATTTCGTACTCCCTATCCAAGTGCACACACATACACTCGCACACGCACACACACACAAGCACTCGCGCACGGGAATATAATATATTATATTGTATATCACGTGCGATGGTACTCTGACGGCACAACCGCAAAACTGCAGGTCTCAGCTGCTGGCTTTGCCTGTATGATATTATATATACGATACGCGCATATCATATAAGACGACGTTGCAGCACATTCCGATCCACTATCCACGCCACACGGCATTCCGGAAATTATTATAAATTTTACCCGGATTAGAGAGATTAAAGAGCAAGGCGGGTATACACCCACAAATATATATTATACACTATGCATATAGCCATATCGGAGAGTACTTTAATTTTATTTTATTACAATATGGGCCACTACATCTTTATATTGGTATGCATTTTCGTTTTGAAGAACATATTACCGGATTTCTCTTAAAACTACAACCATATACATTTATTCTAACAAGCACGAAACTTTAAAAAAGAATTAAATACTACTGACATTATTATTAATATAAAACGTATACCAAAACCATGTCATATTTATAACCGTGTTTATATGTTTGCCTTAGCTGTGGTTTAATGTCATAATACTATCCGTATACTATTGTTTATTACAATTTAATATATATATATATTTTTTTAAATTAAAATTATTTTTATTCTTAAAAGTATACATTGCCATAAGTATTATGAGTAAATTTGATAATTATTATTATGGTTATTGACAAGAGGTTAGCATATTTTATTGACGGGCACTTAGCAGTGCCACCCTACCAGGTACATTTTAGGGATTGTTTTTTTTTTTGTAAATTTACGAAAATAAAAACAAAATATAAAAAATCTTCTAAAACCTATTGCGTTGCTACTGGAGAAATAGGGTAAAAAAAACGTACGAGGAACCTATTGTATTAAATTTTTATCATACACCTATGCCCCAGGATATTATGTGAAACTCGAATAGCTATTATTTGTTTGTTTTATTATTTTGCATCATAGTTATACCCATTCAAAATGCCATTTATTTTATTATTATACCTGCCAGAAATACAGACCGGTGATTTATACATTTATACTTCAATAAACTAACATGATATTATATTACATTTATATTATCACACCATCATCAATTTTTTTGTTTTTTTTCCGAGTATCAGAAAGTTTCTGTGCATACCTAATATTCCATTTCGTTATTCTTGGATTTTACTGATCGAAATAAACAATAACGAAAGTGAAAAAGTTTCTGATTTAAAATCATCCACCACATCGATATTGCGCACTAAGAAGATTTATAAAGAGGGATAATATTATACTTAATATAAAATACCCATTACTCGTAGTAATCACCAACTCGTGCGTCATGATATTTCATAAAAAATAAAACTGTTCCAATAAAATGTTAGTACAGCGTATTATGTTCAGATTCTGAGAGTTAAGTTATAATATTTATCTGGCTCTGCATCAAAAAGTAAATGATCCTGCTATATTTTTGAGAACCATGGATTTTGTGATGTTGCTCTAAATACTGTGTCAACAAACAAAGTGCTGTTGATCCATTCTTATCTCAGAGTTCGTTTCTATTATCCCAAAACGCACACTTCTCAAATCACTGTTCAAATGATGGTTGGATATCAATTTTAATAGCAGAAACAGCACACTGTAAAAAACTTACACTTTACCCAATAATAATAAAAATGTTTCATTATTTATTTATTCTTTTTTTTTTAAACTTCATTCTTTCGTTTTAAAAAATAAACGACTTGTGTTATTTATTCAGAATGAAAGCTGTTTTTTAATTAGAGTTAATGGTCCATATCATATTGTAACGTGATACATAATATAGGGTGGGCCACCGTTTAAAGGTCAAGGTCAATGATATTTATGGTTTTGAGCTTTTAATTTATACAACTTACTAGAATAGTCTAATACCGCTTAATACGTGCTGTAAGTAGTATATAAACATTTATAAGTGTATACTGTATATAAAAATATTTATGAGTGTAATACATGATTTAAATATTGACAATTTATTTAACTTATACTTTAGGACATTATGTGGGAAATACAAATTATGATAACATTAGTCATTATTCAAATGTCCACTAAAAATATTTTCGTAATTCGATTGACTTTAAATAAGTGTATTTTAAATAACTGCAGGTAAGGATAAGACAACAACATAATATATAAGCATATACATCATACAATACTTAACCATGGTTTAAACACAACGAATAACCTAACACAGTAACACCACAACTTTCACAACAAAAATATCTACCTCGTGTATTTAGTACGCACAGAAGCGAGCTTCTAAAAACATAATAATCATTACTTGTGCAGTTGTGCCGTAGATTAAAAAGTC